AGGTGATATCACCATGTAGGCTTAGCAAAGCGTTGGAAACACTTGCCTTTTCGTGCAAGCGTTGCCTAGTCAGTGCAACGTGACAAACGCTACGCTCCTTATAATTACTTATGCCTTTTCTAGTAAGAGACACAAATACAGAGTATTGACGGGTTCTTATGGTGCCTCAGATATGCGCAAATATTGCTTTTTAATTGACAATCGCACAAGTATGAACGCTGAATCTTGAGCATTATTGGAGGGCGCTGCGGATGGGGTCGGCCGTTTGAAGTATAGTTTGACCACTTGGATGCCGTTTAGGGTACCGTTAAGGGCGGACAATCAGACAAACGTAGAGACAGACAGACAGACCAAAATGTTTGCGTCGAAGGTCTCCAAGAAAGACTATCGTCTTAAAAAAAATGGTTCCGTTCACTCTATTTGCGCAGTTCGCAACCACCGGTAATGGCGGTTTTGTTTCACATGGACAGCAAACGCTCCGCGATTTTCACTATGAGACTGCAGCGGCGAGTTCTTGCGTACAGCCTATGGAAAATTCAAAGCCCACTTGAGAATGCTTGGACGCGCAGTGTATATTTTTCGACGAATGGCCAATCCGGGTCAGCCACTAGTTGTTATGTCACGTGGTATATATCTTCCCGTTTTCAATAAAAACGCAATTGATTGATTGATTTATACCTGGGGCTTAATGACCTAAAACCACTATATTGTCGTCGTCAGGTTTGTCGGAGGATCCAGCTGTCGTAAACGTGACGGTACGCTCTCGAAGATCGATAATAGCGCCGTGCTCCCGCAAAAAATCGACTCCGAGGATTAGGTCTCGGGAACAGTCACGAAGTACGAGGCAGCTGGCGAGAAACGTACGTCGCCGAATGCTCACTCTGATAGTGCACATGCCGATTGGGGTGACTACGTGCCCGCCGTCAGTACGAACTTGTGCTTCGTACCAAGGCATTACAACTTTCTTTGTGCGCTGCTAGTTTCCCGCTTATGATCGAGTAGTCCGCACCTGTGTCCAATAATGCACAAACGTCGTGGTGACCGTCGACTACCACATGTATATCCAGAGAAAATCTGCTTCTGACTTTCGTCGCTGTCGTCGGGGAATCACTCCGTGTCCGTGCTTGCGTCTGTGGGAGGACTTGCTTGCGTCGAGTGTCAGCGGCCTCACTCCCGAAGGTCGCTGTCGTTAGTTTTCCCGCCTAGGGCTTGGCGAGCGCACCGGCGCCGCTCCTGGAAGGCTCCGAAAATTTGGAGAAGATCGCCTTGGGGATGGGGACCGCGCCTGCCGCCAGAGTGGCATGCGCTGCTGTGAGAGGTAATCTTCAATAGCACTCGGTCTTTCGCCAAATCTCGGCCGTGGTGCATCGACGCAAAACCCTGTAGTCCAAGGCGATGATAGGGACACTCCCGGTACACATGTCCAGCTTCAGCACAGTGGTAACACAGTGGCCGTCTGTCCGGTGTGCGCCATACATCGGATTTTCTGGGAAGCGGCTGTCGATTTTCTAAGTGCTGAATTGGCTGCAGCGAAGGAAGTGCATCCTGATGCATAGGATTAACGAAGCGTGGTGAAGCAAGAATATATCGCCTTACAGCTTCTGCGTATTATGTACGATGTGGCTCCGCCGGGACAGGCGGGACATAGCTGGAAGTCGGCACTTGAAGAGCCTGTCGTACTTCGTTTCTGACAAAGCTGCAAATAGACCCGCAGTAGGTTGGAACTGGCACTGAATCTTTTGTAGTTCGTCGCGCACCACCGATGGAATGAGATCGCAGAGAGACTCGGTGTTGATGTTGCCTGCCGCACCTCCGATCTGACCTATTGACGAAGCGGCACTCACTGGCCGGTCGTACACAGTAGAGCGCTGCTGCAGCACTTGCTCCATGGTTGTGGCTTCGGTCGAAAATTCCGCCACGATCTTTGGGGGACAGCGAACGAGGCCAGCGAAAAGTTGCTCCTTCACTCCTAGCATTAAATGACGGACCTTCTTTTCTTCTGCTATATCGGGGAGAGCTCGACGAAAGAGGCTCGTCATGTCCTTGACGTACATCATGACGCTTTCATTCGGCATTTGGAGGCGCGACTGAATCGCTCGCTCGGCTCGTTCGCGGCGAAAGGGATTGGCCCAACTTGCCAGCAGGTATTAACGAAAGACGCTCCATGAGGGAAAAGGCTCACGGTTTTCGTACCAAGTACGAGCACCGTCCTCCTAGCTGAAATACCCGTTCCTCATTTCGTCGAAGTCGGTCCAACCATTGTAATCCGAAACCCGTTCGAACTGGGCCAGCCAGTCTTCGACATCCTCCAAGACGGAACCGTGGAACACCTTCTGCACACGTCGCTTCCACAGCGTATGATGCGTGGCTGATGCACTTTCCTGTGCGTTGGAGGCTGCAGCGCCTTCCGTAGCGTTCGGTGGTGTAACAGACGTCATCTCGGGAAGAGGTCCACGCTCAGGAGGTAGTCCTCGAACTTTTCGGCTTGAGCGGTGGACAGGTGTTGTCACTGCAGTTACAGGGCTACCTGGAGGCATTTTGAACATCGGCTGGGGGTTACCCAGCAGCTCCACCAGTTGTCACGTGCTACAAAAGGTCTTCAACTAGGAAGAACTGAGCCGGCGGGGAGACGCACCGAAAACTGGCAAAATGGCTGCTTCAATAATAAACAACTAGCCAGAGCACGCGCTGCCCCAGAACATCGTCTTCCATTCTCGCGGGCACCCATGGCTTGCGCTCGCCGTAACTAGCGGCCAATTGGCAATATGATTATGAGAGACACCGTAGTGATGGGATCCGGAAATTTTGACCACCTGGATTTCCAAGCTCACGGGCCGACAACATTTTCACCTCCATTGAAAATGCAGCCGCAGCCGGGATTCAATTCCGCGACCTGTGGATCAGCAGCCGAGTACCTTAGCGACTAGACCACCTCGGCAGGCCTTTCAATAATAATAATAAATAAATCAGCTGAAAGTCAGTTTTGTGCCGTGTCCACTTCATCTGTGTTTTTCGCGCTGTTAATCGAGATTAGCCGAAATTAATATACATTCTGGGAGTAGTGCACCTTGGCATGACCTGCTAAAACTACGCTGATTTTCAGATACGCCTGCTGCCAATGCATCGCTGACACAGCTTGACAACTTGGAATATTCGCAGCGGGGCACGTTTCTTCTGTCGACGACGGAGACAGAGCATCACCAGTGGGAAACGTTTCACCGGTTCTATACAAAAAGACGCTTCAAGAAAGCCGTCGTCCACAGCTCGACAGTAGTGAACTTGGGCACCACAAACTAAATACTACGCCTGTTACAGGTGAGAAATCGCCTTTTGTATTCAATAGCGCTCAAGTGCTTGCAATTTTAGCGCTGCTTTCGGACGTGGTTTTCCACCTTCTTGTATTTTGTTAACGAAACGTTCGTGTTGGTTAACCATGCCGAAAAATGCGTGAGAAGGCTCACGACAACTAAGCAAGGAACTCAGAGAAAGAAAAGATGCTCTGAAAGAATCCAGAAACCTCAGAGAAGACATTAGGTTTGTAACAAAGAGAAACAAAGAACTCAAAGCTTAATATGATAGACTGCATTGTAGAATAGAGGTTGTCGAAACTTGTCAGCGTTGATATTGTCTTGCGATGAGGGGGGTTTCATCTTACGTTGAATTCAATGGTGAGGTCAAGAAAATCTGTGGTAGCAGAATAAGATACCATGTGTCCTCAACAAACACGTTGACGTAGTTCACCTAAACAGGAAAACTTTCAAAAATACGTTGAGAAAAATTTTCTTCATCTGTACCTCGATACGGCAAATACAGGTTCATGATGGAAATTTTTTTGTTGAAGCGCACTGAGGACAGACGCACAGAAGAAGCTAACAAGGACAGCGCTTGCTGTCCTTCTCAGCCTCTTTTGTCAGTCTGTCTTCAGTGCGCTTCAACAGAAAATTTTCAATCATGGACGTTATCCAACTAGCCCAACTTGCCACCTTGCTGCAAATAGAGGTGTTTAGATTATTTATTACTTTTTCGTGTTTTCTTCAAATGTCCACAGTGTGAAGTGTCAACAAAGAAAAGTGGACTGAAAGATTACTAGCCACCCACAGGGGCCGAACCTGGGACCTTCGAATAACGAATCCGATGCGCTGCCAATTTAGCTACGGCGGCGGTTATCCCTGCGCTCACTTTATTTGGTATTTATGTGCTTATAAACGTGTAAGGCCCAGTCAGCGCCGCCAGTAGCCATTATAGCAGAGTGGAACACCTTTTTTTTGGCTCTTGGCGTCACGTAGCACGTAATTATACTTCGAGCTGATACCTGACTCATCAAACGTCCTTGCCTGGGTTCTGAGCTGCCGTAGCTGAGCCACCGTAACGCAGTTCGTATAGGGCATCAGACGCATTATTCGAAAGCCGCAGCTTCAGTATCTGCCAGCGGCAAGGTATCTTTTCGTTTACTTTTATTGCTTCACATTTAAATTACAATCATTACTAATAACAATCGCTATACTTTCCTTGGCTTTCATGTCTGATAGCTAGCATTAATATTGTGTCTAAGAAAAACTAGCCATTAAATTTATTCTTCATCCATTTATTTGAACACTGGTTCACCTGGTGTCTGGACAGAAAATTCTGTCCCCCCCCCCCATCCACGCACTTACGCAAGTGCGAGCGCACTGAGCGAGAGTGAGAGAGAGAGAATAGGAATCAAGGTTAGAAGATATAACTGCGTTTATGCTCGTCTGAACAGGGTCCCGTTCGGCCATGAAAATAAACATTAATGCTTTTGGGTTTTTCATGTCTTGACGCCGAATAAGCTTGATAATGTAGATCAATGGTCAAGCACGTGTATTTCTAAGCGCGTGTAAACCTTTCATTTTGACAAAGGGCAAAAAATAACGCCTTGTAACGATTACAGAAAGTGGTGCGGAAGAATGAATTCGTACTAACCTCCCTTTCTTTTGGGCTGTCATTAAAATTTCATGTGCTGTTACGCTTATTTGCAGCAATGTATCCTGCGGAGGGCCGGCTTTCGTCGGCGGTTGAGATTTCCGAGCTCCCTCGGAATGGGCGATGGTGCATTGCTTCGAACGGAAAGGAAGAGCTTCGCATCTCCACCAAGCTGTACGCGCAGAACAACAGTCTTCAGAGAAAGCACAACAACACTGTGCTGGAGTTTTGCCAGCCGGCGTTCCTCGCGGAGCCGCAGAGCACGATGCAAGTCCTGGACGTCGGCTGCGGAACTGGCGACTTCACGCGGGACTTCCTGCTGCCACGTTGCCTGCCGTGCGCCAGGCTAATCGGCATCGACTGCAGCGTCGACATGATCAAGTATGCTAGCCGGCACTCGGCCCACGAGAAGATCGAGTATGAGGTGCTTGACATAGGCGAAGACGTGACAGAATTCATCAGTCATCGCGGACGCTTCGACAGGGTTTATTCTTTCTACTGCCTTCAGTGGCTGAAGGACCAGGGCAGTGCACTAAAGAATATAGCGGCACTGATGGCACCGGGGGCGCAGTGTGTACTCGTATTTCCTGCTTCGCACCAACCCGGCGCAGTGTGGAGCCTTCTGGCCAAGATGGATCGCTGGGCAAAATATGCCGAGGTAACGATGGTTCACAATAATTAGCTTGAGCAGGTGCTTTCTGGCACAGACAGAGAGCGAGCGAGAGAAATGAGTTGCGTGTGCACCCACGAAATTTTCAGTTGAGTTGCCAGATAAACGTTATCATTCCCTTAAAAGCGACTCTGTCACCATAGGATGAAGTACAAGCCCTCTAGGTCGGGAACTTTGTCACATAAACTCTAATTACTGAAGGACAGGTACTTCTCACGAAACAGCACCACACCGTAAAACCGCGAGAACTTGTCAGGCTGGCCGAAGTGGACAAACGGAACATGCGCTGACTTAAATTCTATCATTCAAACGCACGCGCACACATTGTCAGGACCTTGTAATTACGCTCACACGATAAGCTGTCCCTTAATTTTCAAGCATAGAACAAGTGAATTTTTATTTCTGCGTAATTGCGAGCTGTGACAACACATGTCGTTGATATATCAAATGCTCAATGTAGGCTATACTTGTGGAGTAACCCAATATACCAGCCTCTCTATTTCATAGAAGGTGCAGCACCCTTACTGTGTGCTTCTGTTTACATCGGTGTCTGTGTACTGTAGTTCTATTTTCCAAAATGACCTCAAACCGATTTCGAAATAAAGTCGCGCCCATCGGTCAATCCTTTCACATTGATCAGCTAACAAGTGTATCTTTCTATAAAGACTAGCCCAACAGTGTATACTTTCATAGCGACAAGCTTATCGGTGAATCATTTCATAGCGACAAGCCCATCAGTCTATCCTTTCAGACTAATGCATAAGTCTATACTTTCATAACGATAAGGCCACCGTTGTATCCTTTCATATAGTCTGGCCCATCAGTCTATCCTCTCATAACGACTTGCTCTTATATATTTTCATGGTGACAAGCCAATCGATGTATTCTTTTACATACACTAGCCCATTTGTCTATCATTTCATAATTGCTGGCTCATCAGTATCATCATCATCATCATCAGCCTGACTACGTCCACTGCAGGACAAAGGCCTCTCCCATGTTCCGCCAGTTAACCCGGTCCTGTGCTTGCTGCTGCCAATTTATACCCGCAAACTTCTTAATCTCATCTGCCCACCTAACCTTCTGTCTCCCCCTAACCCGCTTCCCTTCTCTGGGAATCCAGTCAGTTACCCTTAATGACCAGCGGTTATCCTGTCTACGCGCTACATGCCCTGCCCATGTCCATTTCTTCATCTTGATTTCAGCTATGATATCCTTAACCCCCGTTTGTTCCCTTATCCACTCTGCTCTCTTCTTGTCTCTTAAGGTTACACCTACCATTTTTCTTTCCATTGCTCGCTGCGTCGTCCTCAATTTAAGCTGAACCCTCTTTGTAAGTCTCCAGGTTTCTGCTCCGTAGCTAAGTACCGGCAAGATACAGCTGTTATATACCTTCCTCTTGAGGGATAGTGGCAATCTACCTGTCATAATTTGAGAGTGCCTGCCGAATGTGCTCCACCCCATTCTTATTCTTCTAGTTACTTCAATCTCGTGGTTCGGCTCTGCGGTTATTACCTGCCCTAAGTAGACATAGTCTTTTACAACTTCAAGTGCACTATTACCTATCTCGAAGCGCTGCTCCTTGCCGAGGTTGTTGTACATTACTTTCGTTTTCTGCAGATTAATTTTAAGACCCACCTTTCTGCTCTCCTTGTCTAACTCCGTAATCATGAGTTGCAATTCGTCCCCCGAGTTACTCAGCAATGCAATGTCATCGGCGAAGCGCAGGTTACTAAGGTATTCTCCATTGACTCTTATCCCTAACCGCTCCCATTCTAGGCTTCTGAAAACCTCGTGTAAGCACGCGGTAAATAGCATTGGGGAAATTGTGTCCCCCTGCCTTACACCCTTCTTGATTGGTATTCTGTTGCTTTCTTTATGAAGCACTATGGTAGCAGTTGATCCCCTGTAGATTTCTTCCAGAATGTTTATATACACTTCATCTACGCCCTGATTCCGCAGTGTTTGCATGACGGCTGATGTTTCTACTGAATCAAACGCCTTCTCGTAATCTATGAAGGCTATGTATAGTGGTTGGTTATACTCTGAGCATTTCTCTATTACCTGATTGATAGTATGAATGTGGTCAATTGTTGAGTAGCCTGTTCGAAATCCTGCTCGTTCCTTTGGTTGATTGAATTCTAATGTTTTCTTTACTCTGTTAGCAATTACCTTTGTAAATAGCTTGTATACTACAGAGAGCAAGCTGATCGGCCTGTAATTCTTCAAGTCCTTGTCATCTCCTTTCTTATGTATTAAGATGATGTTAGCGTTCTTCCAAGACTCTGGTACTCTTCCCGTCAGGAGACACCTCGTAAACAGGGTGGCTAGTTTTTCTAACACAATCTGTCCTCCATCTTTCAGCAAATCTGATGTTACCTGATCCTCACCAGCAGCTTTGCCCCTTTGCATGCTCTCCAAAGCTTTTCTGACTTCTTCTATCATTACTGGTGGGGTGTAATCTGGGTTACTGCTAGTTCTTATAGTTTTAAGGTCGTGGTTGTCTCGGCTACTGTACAGATCTCTGTAAAACTCCTCCGCTATTTTAACTATCCTATCCATATTGGTAGTTATTTTGCCTTCTTTGTCCCTTAGTGCATGCATCCGACTTTTGCCTATCCCAAGTTTCCTCTTCAATGCTTTGACACTTCCTCCGTTTTTCAGAGCGTGTTCAATTCTCTCCATGTTATACCTTCTTACATCGCATACCTTACGTCTATTAATCAACTTCGAAAGCTCTGCCAGTTCTATTTTGTCTGTTGTACTTGACGCTTTCATGATTTGACGCTTCTTAATTAGGTTCTTCGTTTCTTGGGAAAGCTTGCCAGTGTCCTTTCTAACTACCCGGCCTCCAACTTCCACTGCACACTCCGTAATGATACTCGTCAGATTATCATTCATTGTATCTACGCTAAGGTTGGTTTCCTCACTAAGAGCCGAATACCTGTTCTGCAGCGACACTCTGAATTCCTGTACTTTCCCTCTCAGTGCTAGCTGATTGATTGGCTTCTTGCGTATCAGTTTCTGTCGTTCCTTCTTCAAGTCTAGGCGAATTCGAGACCGTACCATTCTATGGTCACTGCATCGTACCTTGCCAATCACTTCCACATCCTTAACGATTCCAGGGTGTGCACTCATTATAAAGTCTATTTCGTTCTTATTTTCGCCATTAGGGCTCCTCCATGTCCACTTGCGGTTTTCTCGTTTTCGGTAGAAGGTATTCAAAATCCGTAAATTATTGCGTTCTGCGAATTCTACTAGTAGCTCTCCTCTGGCGTTTCTAGTACCGATGCCATAATCTCCTACTGCCTGGTCTCCAGCCTGCTTCTTCCCTACCTTTGCATTAAAGTCGCCCATCACCATAGTATACTGTGTTTTTACCTTACTCATTGCCGATTCCACGTCTTCATAGAAGCTTTCAACTGAAGCGTCATCATGGCTGGATGTAGGCGCGTAAGCCTGTACTACCTTCATTTTGTATCTTTTATTCAGTTTAATTACGATACCTGCCACCCTTTCATTAATGCTATAGTATTCCTCTATGTTGCCCGCTATGTTTCTGTGAATTAGGAACCCCACTCCCAGTTCTCTTCTGTCTGCCAAGCCCCTGTAGCAAAGGACGTGCCCATTCTGTAGCACCATATAGGCCTCATCTGTCCTCCTAACCTCACTGAGCCCTATTATATCCCATTTAACACCCTCTAGCTCCTCGAATAGTACAGCTAGGCTTCCCTCACTAGATAAGGTTCTAGCGTTAAACGTTGCCAAGTTCAGGTTCCAATGGCGGCCTGTCCGGATCCAGAGATTCTTAGCACCCTCTGCTGCGTTGCAGATCTGACCGCCGCCGTGGTCAGTTGCTTCACAGCTGCTGGGGACTGAGGGCCGTGAGTTATTTGACGTAAGCATGTGGGAGGTAGTGGCCAGATACTGCACCAGGGTGGCCAATCCTTCTCTGGTGAGGGAGTGCGTTCTCGGCGGTGTTTGCCGGTGAGGCCGCACCCCAGGCCTCCTAATGCAGTTCCATCAACACGCGGATTTTTTTTTTTTTAATCCGGTTGGGAACTGCGCGGTACCGGGATTTGAACCACGGACCTCTTGCATGCGAGGCGGATGCTCTAACCACTACGCCATCGCTGCCTCATCAGTATATCATCTCATAACAACCAACCCATGCATGTATCTTTTCATAGCTACACCAATCAGACTATCCATAAATAACGACTAGCTCGTAAGTCTATCATTTCGTAATGACTAGCATATAAGCCTATCCTTTCGGGTGGGTTTGTTTCGAATGTTCTGCTCGTCTGTCTTTGGTACAGTTGCTGCTGCAGTTTATAGTGAAGAGTCACTACATGGTGGACAAGACCGAACAGATGCGGTACATGTCCACACTACTCCGTCAAGCCGGCCTGTTCCCCAATATTTTCGTGCTGCCCAGGCTGGTGACGTTCGATGGGTGGTCTGAACAGGCCATTGTCGGTAAGCCAGGCGATGTAAACCTTCATAAAGTGGTTCTTTTACATGGAAATTCTTGCACAATATATTTACGAACAGGTAAAATGCGTGGAATTGTTCATAGCAGCTTAAGTTCATGAAACATTTCATATTGTATCTCTCTACAAATGCTGACAGAAAATTGGGAATTGGGAGCTTTCTTAATTATTGTACTAGGTACTAGTTTAGGCTTAGTCACGAGAAAATCTGTACACGTCGAGGGTGCATCTTCGTTCAGCAATGCAATGCAAGCCAACACGTGAGCTTGCACACATACATACTCGTATATATGCAAGCGTACTTAATAACGGACGCGACGCGACAATATGAATGAAAGAGCTTGATAAAAGCAAATAGTATTATTTTCTACTCTACAGCATTAAATAACTATTGATTATGTTAAAAGTAATGTTTGATCTCTTAGTAAACGAAGATAGCGAAATGTTCATACAGCTTTTAGGAAGTTTTAAGTCTCATGTTTTAAGCATATACGAAACATTGCACTACAGAGTATGAAG